ATCACTGGTCGCCATTTTGGAGGGGATACACATATCACTAGTGATATGTGTGCGGGGATACACATATCACGGGGATACACATATCACTGTGACAGCGGCAGTGGGATGGGAGGGGGGGTACCCTGTTGAGCCAATCTCGCGATTATGGCTCCTACTATACAACGACCGTCAAACATGTCAAAGGTTTTGATAGAGTGTAGTTTCGGGTTGGCCTGATTAAAATAGTTACAAGATCTTACAAATTATGCCGATTTGGTGACGGAGTGTCTAATCAGCGCGGGTCGCTAGTAAATAGCGCGGGTTGCGGGTAAACATAAGCAAAAAACCTGAAATAAACGTTTTGATAGACCAATAAAGTATGATAGTTGGTAGACCTATCTTAAATAATATTTTTAAAACACCTGTTCCTTTGGCCGACTCTCGTGACCCATATTATGTTTATAATATTAAATGACCGGCGTGGTAATCCTGATAAGCCGTCATTTTGTTTTTAAGACCAGTAAGTTTAGAGCAAAATTCGCACAGAATACGGACAGAACCAAACAGAACAGTGAAGACCATGTCTCGAGTAACTAATTTTTTTTTCGAGGGGAAAGTAAAGAGGTGCAAAGGTTAGGTTTCACTGACTGCTAGCGTCTATCATCCTCTGCTCAGAAGATTCATACTTCTCGCCACAATGGAAAGTAACTTATGGATGACTAGGTTTCGGCTCCACTATATAGCATACAATGCTGAGAAACGCAAAGAACATAAATCCTATTTCATTACAACCGAAGTCATGGATCAATTAACCAGGGCTTCTTCGGGGGCTATCGAAAGGTTAATCGTACTCTGTCCGTTGCTTTTAAAAGTGTTACAACTTTCTATAAACCACTTTGTTGTCACAAAAATTGAAAATGTAGCCACAGGTACTCATCATTTTTTTTTTTTTTTTTTTTTGAAAACTTGAAACTCTCTCGATTATCAAAGGCAAGGTCATAAAAACTATTTTTTACCTTAAAATCAGTCTGTTATCGATACATGTTGGACAGTTCGAGTACTGCCAAGGCCTGCTAATGCTAAGAGGTACAAAGAGTCTCTCATACCGTGAATTTATTCTTCAAAGTTTTATTTCGACTATCACTTCAAGCCTTAAGGTTTCCAGCTTAATGCCTTCACGGTGGAAACGCCAAACGGAGATCTCCCTAAGGAGTGTTTCACTTAGACAAACACCACACTGACACACAAACGACACTTAGCAGACTTAGGAAAACAAACAACGTTGACCCAAAAAAAAACAATGAGAAAGACCATTGCTAAACGAAATCTAACCATAAATAAAAATATTCGTGGAGGTTTCAACCAAGGAAAATCGAAACACAGCTGTTAAAAGCTAAACGTAACAAGAAAAAAAATCAAGCAACAAAACTACCATACAAGGAAAGTTATGTGTGGGCTGACCCTGAGTGTTGCACAGCTATGGGTGGTCACGAGACTAGCTAACACAAGACGAACTAACGTTATCGGGTTTAACTGTTTAGACAAATTTAGTGTCTTAAGACGTTGACGAACACGAAACTAGCACAAGACAAACTAAAATTTTGGGAAGCATGATAAAACGCTACGTTTAACTTTAAAGTTAAGACTGAAGAACGTGTATAAACTGGACGAAGGCAAACTCAAAGTGATATGAGGAGAAAAGTATCTTGCGCACATATTATTATATGTGTTCACTGATCAGCCATTCATTTACTAATGGAAGCTACATATCATACTGGCACTGGACAGGATCTAATACTACACACAAACGCTACTGAACTTCTGAGCTTTTTTCCTTCTATACTGCCAAATTGTAACAGATACTCTTCAAATGTCAAATTTGACGTTTAGCAACAACGATCTTCTCAATCTGTCTTCGCTCGTTTCGGACAAAAGCCATTTTCCTGCTCAACAGGTTTGGCACAGAAACTTTCCTGTTTAGCCGGCTTAGCGCAGCATGCCGCAGGAGCGACATCGTTTGACTCGCAATAAGCAAATGGGTCCGCCTCACTGACAACATCATCAGCGGGTGCGACGGTTCCAGGCTCCAACGGATGGAATTCAAAATGCTTCGAGAAACGAGACGCACGAAGGAGGCTTGCCACTCCAACAGAAACAATCTTCGGCGTCTTCTGCAAAATTTAACAATTGAATACGAATAGTTATATACAAATTGAGGAAACAGTCCTAAGAAAATACGCGCGCTAATTGGTTAAACTCGATGGAAACACACAACTAGCACGAGCTGTTGACGTAATGATGACGCGAGCAAAGAGAATTTGCACTTTGAAAATCAAAGTTAACAAGCTGTTTTCTTTTTTTTTTTTTTCGTCGCGGTGTTTTCTAAAAGAAATAGAAAACACGTTCTCCGTGTTTCTATCGAGTTAAAGAAACACTCGTGAAAGTTTGGGAGAACTCGAAAAAGCTGCGGAAACACACACCTGTGGCTCGTGTTCCCACAGCATTTCTCGTTCTCCCAAACGTCCACTCGTGTTTCTATAACTCGATAGAAACACGGTACATGTTTTGTATTTCTTAAATGGTAGTTACGTTTTCGTATACGTAAATGCTGACAAAACTCAACTGGGCGTAATAAACGTACCGTGAATACATTGTGAACGTTCAACTTGAATTCATCTGGATTGTCTTCCATGGAACCTAGCACAAAGGAAGGATTTCTAATAAGTAACACAACTGGACTCTAACTGCAGGTTTTTATAACTTATTATACATATTACTGACTCTTCAAACTTTTCCAAACTTCTCATACCCACTGTGAGCTTGACATACTCAAGAAGAAAAATCATACTTCCAGATCTGTAGCGGTTACCATTCACAGAAAACTTACTGTTAGTAAGTAGAGTAACTAAAGTTATATCTTTATTCAAGTGTTTTAGTAGTTTTCAACGATCTATTATTGGAAATTCTTTTCGAGTGATTTCTATCAATGGTATTCGTAGTGAACAAGACGTCTGCCATTTATTTCAATATATGTTCCAATATATGTTCAATATATGTTTCCGAGTCAACTCCTCTCCACAACATATCACAATTTCTCAGAGCGACCCTGCGGCGAGCGAACGCTCAGTTCGATCACGTTTTTCTGCTAGTCGCAGGGTAATTAGCACAGTTCAGCGTGTCAAAAAGTGTACAGGAAGTCGTGGACCAAGGACGTATGTGGAGAGAGTAGGGTGCGATATTTATTGCACTTATTGCCTTCACTCCTTCCCTCTTACTACTGTTGATGGCGCGGAGATGCTTGTCAAAAAGTTAACTTACACCCCAAAACGAGACCATTTGGGCGCAGCTTTAGCTTTATCCTCGTTTGACCCATAAAATACACCATTCTAAATTTATAGTGACTTACATGACGATTAACACATTCCCCATCGAATGTTTTCATCGATGAAGAAATGTTAGAGATTTCACACATTGACGGGCTTTCTATCTCAAGGTGAGATGACCAAAGTTCCTCCTCTCTCACTCGGGAGTCAACCCACAGCCCATTCTGATTACTTGATGTTTTATTAAGATTGTATATATGATATAACACGTACCTTTGTAGGTCACTCTGGACCCATCTGTCTTGTTGACTTGCGGGATTTTTAACAAACGATAAGTCGCGGCTACAAACTTTGCATCCCCTGAATAGCAAAGAACAGTACTTTTAATTGATGATAAATCCTTTAGCTAAAAAAAATGAAACTTAGAAATAAGGTGAATGACGGAACGGAATCAAGTTCGTGTGGCTAATGGAGATAAAAGAAAAATCATTAGGCAGTCTGCTGGTAGATCACAAAGCTGTGACCACAGTCTACACTTTGTTCACTGAATGCCGGAATTAAGGGAATGTTTACTGTTTACTATGGAAAAACGAACCGTATTTTTTATTCATTTATTTATTTCTTATATGTAGACCATTTCTACTATTAAACATTTAAATACTTTTATTGTAAGTACATATTGCTACAGTCATGTAACAAAATTCCAGCTTCCTTATACTGGTCTGAATTCTTCATGATATCACGTCTTTAGTTCAGTTCAGGTCGGTTATGCCTTTATATTTTAAATGGTTTACATAATCATATGATGAATATTTTGTCAACCTTTTCCTGTATGCTGCTTTAACGAAGGAACAAGTAAAATATCCCTTGCATTATAGCCGCTCAAGAATTGATTAAACAAAAAGAAACATTTTTTTATCCCTACCCAATGGTCTTCTTGCACGAAGTTCTGGCTTAATTACAAATGGTCTTGCAGTCACCAAATGAGGTCCACAGAATCCCACTTCTTTACAGAGCTCAACCAATTCCTTCCAGTGTAAAGCTCCTGCAACACCCTCGCCTACATGTACAAGCACAAAAAACATACACACACACACACGAAAAAAAAAAACATGTACAAGCACAAAATAAGAAAGGAGTCGACAACACAAAGATACATATCAAAGGCCCCTTGGGAACTTGGGGACTCCCATATGAAAAGGTTGGGGATGTTCGTTGGAAAATTTGAATTAAACACATAAAGGAGACCAATCTGTGAGTGGCTCCAGCTTATTTGATCCCTAAAAGATACCACTTAAAACAGAATAGGCTCAATTAACAGCTGCTGTTAATATGAGAGTCTTATGGGAGTTTCCCCAGAGGTCCCATATATGGGCAACTGTAAGGAGTTATTTCAAAGTTATACTGCACACAATTGTTAGGTGTATTGATGATTATAACTAACTCAGCTCTTTGCATCTCTTACATTACAACGATCATTAGAAAGAACATTTACCCCAAAGCACTTCATCATTTTTCGCTTCTTCGCATAGTTTTGTGTCTGTGTAAACATCACTGAAGAAAATTTCACCTCCATCCTAAGAAAAGCCACAATAAGAAGCTTATGGTAAACACTGAAACATTGGTAGACAGTAAGATTAACTCTGGTCAGCAAAAGGAACTGAAACTCTGAGATGGCTTCAAGACATTTAACTTTGAAGAGGGAAAGATGATGAATTTGTCCTGTGAGATACATATCTTTGGAAGGATCATTTGCCATCCCTATAATAGAGACTAATGTTCAACATATACCGTAAAATTCCGTGTATACGTATAACTCCCGCCTTATTTTTCAAAATCCCAGTCAAAAATACCAATATATTCTTGAGTACTCGTAAGGCATTTTCATGTGTGGTGCCCAGACTCCTCTCCACATTTCAAAGCTTGGCTACTACTAGTACAAGTAAGCAAGTAAGCGCTCGTTTGTATTGTTTCAATCGCCTACGAATTTCAACTTCATTGAGCGTTTCGAAGTGACAATATTGAAAAAATCTCGAGGGAGCATCTTAGATGAAGTTTGATGTTTGTTGTCTTTATTTTTTTCCTAACTTCGAGCTTCCAAATTGGGATGGGCGCGGGTTATAATGCATGGACGTACATTAAATAAAGTTGAATAAGGTCATGCCATGGATTTTAGTCTTATATCCTCATCACCATGTGTAGCTTAAGTTTCCATTCCAGCCTAGCGACATGTTAAGCCAGTACAAAAGATGACTATGAATATTTCTAGGAAGCCCTCGGGATGTATGTTACTCTATAACAGGGTTACTTTCCTTAAGATAAAGGCAGTGTGAAAGTAGCTTATTTTGCCCAGAACACTGAGGGACTCTGGCCAAAGTTTTAAAATGCGGAGCACCAATGATCCAGAGTCCAGCATACTGCCTAACCATTAGGCCACCTACAACCACTTCCTCATCGTTATAAACATAATAAAGAGTTTCTCACCTTAAGAACTCGGTAGGCTTCTTTAAGAACAACTTTTTTGTCAGCAGTCAGGTTAACAACACAGTTTGAGCTTAAATAGAATTTAAACAGAAAAGAAACATTTCAGTGGCTGCATTCTAGGGTGGCAATTTTGGATAAAAGGACAAAAAAAAAAATTGGTTACGAAACTGATCCAGGGATTTTGGTATTGTAAGAGGTCAAAGTTTTTGTTACCAATTATCAACACATGTCGTTAAGTTTCCGGTGGCTGAGATTTCCTTTCCATTTTATAGCAAACTGGTCCATGATAAAAAAAGACAATTCTAGATCTGATGCTTATTTGCTTATATTACACCAGTACTTACATTATTATGTCCACAGAATTGTCCTGTATGCCTACATCAGACAGTCGTTCCATTTCACCAAGTTTAAACTCAGTATTGGGCTTGGAATATCCAAACTGCTTGGCATGATAATCGACATACTTGTTAGCAATATCCACCTAGATGTACATCGACGACAGAATTAGTATCACAATGTCTTGGAGGTGGCTCAAAACAGCTTTCGGCACTTAGATTTTGATGGGTCGTTATAACCACTCTTTCTCACTTTATGCTTCAATCGCGGTATCAAAAAACTGCCCAATCATTGGTGAACACGTTGTTATCATTTTCGTGACACAATAGGTTACTATAGCAACAGTATGATCTGTTAAAAACACACTTAATTACAGCTTTAGGGGCTTATGATTTATAAACGGCACGGTGAAATTTTTTTTATATTATCATATTTTAATAAGCATGATAAGCATGATAAGACCTTTGGCAAAATTTGAAACAATTCTGTACATAGGGTTCAGAGCCACCTTAAATGTTTGAAACGACCAATCAAAAGCTAAGTGCTGGAAACTGTTTTGAGCCACCTTAAGGAAAGCATCTTTAAAACATAGGTCTAAAATGCATACGTGTATGACCTATGAGTTATGGAAGCCACACCAAGGTGTTATGTGCAAAATGACATCCCAACCATGAACATACCTGTTCTTTAGTCATATCCACTCCAGTCACATGACCATTTTCACCAACAAGTTTACTAAGAACAAAACAGTCCTGTCCTGATCCACTGCCAAGGTCCAGGATGTGCATACCCTCAAGGGCTTCTGGGACTGCTAAGCCACATCCATAAAACCTGAAATCGTTCCATTTAAGTCAAGGCCAGTAAGAAGGCTTTAAGGTAAAAAAAAAATTTCCCATGTCAAAACATGGGCAAGTGAAAATAAAATTCAATTTTTCGGTGTCATCATGTTCCCACTGCCAAGGTGATTACAAAATTGTTCTGCGAGTCATTTCTAAGAAGTTCGCTAAATTTGTATGAATTGTATAAGACTTGTTTTCCTTTACTCTGAGAAGGCAGAATTAAATGTGATCCTTTCAAAGTAACAAGGGAAACCACTGACTGGTGTAATACTGTCTCTGCACGATAGTCTTACCAACATTCTTCCAACTGTTGCAAAGCATTTGAAGTGGGTATAACAGCATAGTCTTGGAAGCAATTTTATTGCTGATCAGAATGAACTGAAGGTCGTTTAATTTAAAACTTAAAATGCATGAGAAGTAATCACTTCAGTCCGAGAGCATAAGAATGCATTGGTTTGTGTGAGTCTCATGGTTAATGCCCAAGACTTGAAAACTCTGTTAAGGCCAAGTGTCCTCTCTTTATGAAGGGAAAACCGGAATTCAAAAAAGTCGCTTAAATCGAGTTAAATCGGCAAAATAACCACACCAGGAGCAAGCAACACACGTATGGAATAAGGTAAGCCAATTTTATTGAGAATTTTCATTTTTAACTACCTCCATGGATATCTTGTAGAAAATCCCATACAAACCCTTATAATTCGATGCCATATCGTGTTGCTTGTGTGGTTCATAGAGAGAGTCTGGGCTGCCTGTGGATAAACCTGAAAAAAACCCGTTCAAGCACGTTCAAGTTTACGCAAACGCAACTGTTTCAATCTTCTCTAGTTTTCCCCATCTATATGTCATTTTGACTCCTCTGTTTGTCATGTTCCCCAATGGTTTTAAGCCGTTATTTTGATATTTGCAGTTAATTTGACCAGTAAATATTTGAAAGCCTGGTTTACCCTTGTGAGATAAGCACAAGCATACGCACAGAGAGAAGGATGCTCACAGAGCTGCTATGATTTTCACACACCCAAATCATGTGAAATTATCACCATGGGGGTGAGTAAAAACACCGTAAATTCTCTTGCAATTACTTCAAACCTCCATCAGATGCTGACAGATTAAGGTTACAGTATACCTACACGGGTGTCTCGCGCGCAAGCGATGTAGCGCGTGCAGTTTAAGCTGTAGATACCTAAAGCCCTATATCAAATTAAAGCTTATGGAGCTGACTATCAAACTATACCAAGAAATTTGAAAGAAAATGAATTGTCGAATTTTTCACGACCACTAAATGCGAGCGCCCGAATCACCTTTCGAAAGCTACAAGTCAAAGCGAATTTCGTTTTTCGCCAATTTAATTTTTTCCTCGGTTTCAGGGCCCTAAGCGCTTAAAAAACGTGTCTGCGTTTTGGCATATTCAATTGCAGTAAAAAGTTACAGAACATGGAAACGTGGTCTATGTTTACTTATAACTTAATAGAGACACACCTAATACCAAAAATGCTGGGTAGTCAGAACAACAATGCTGATCAACTGAGTAGTCAATTCGTGACATCCATATAGGTAATTCCCGCGAAAATCGTCTCGGTTGATTACATACGCGCCATAGGGCTGTCAATCAAGAGGTAAACTTTAACTTCCGGTGAAAACGTAAAACCGCCATTTCTCCGCCAATATTTAGACTTTTTCAAAAATTTTTTTCAGAAATTACAAATTATTCCTCGACCACTATTTTGACCCCAAAAATCCAAATATGAAGAAAATTGCCGACCCGAAGGTATACTGTAACCTTAACTAAACAATAACCTCCATTTGGCGCGAAAATATGCTCGGATATTTGTCTGTTCCGAGAAACGAACCGTTTTCCGAGAAGCTCGAGAAAAACTGTGAGCTCCGAGGAACAGATAATGCCCAAGGACAAATATCTGAGCATATTTTTAAAGTCAATTGGAGGCTATTGTGTTTATTATGCTTCAAATAACCTTCACAACATGCGGGATCTGAAATTTGCACACACGTTTTAGCGTTCAGTTTTTCTCGCGACTTTTATGCGGACTCAAGTTGTAAATGTGACTGACTGGTAAGTGAAAACAGCTATAAGAGACACAGGAGACGTACAGCCGATATCGTAAACGCAGTCAACATTCAGAGTTATTCTTACGCCATTTCGACTTCAATTAGAATGAAAGGGACACTGCGCTGACAAACATCACAAACCAACACATGACGGAGTGTTATTCCACAAGCCCTTTATTTTGTCTTGAGTTCGTCGAGATCGGAAGCTTAGCATATTATTACATGGCTCTTTACTATCCAACTGTAGCGAATACCGTCCAAACAACAGTACAAATATACAGCGATATTGTACAGTTATTTCTACAGTAGAAAACCTGTTTGCCGAGCAATCTTTGGCAGAATAAAATTCAGCTCATCGCCGTTCGCAAGCAAAATGTCAGTTAGTACAAACCATTTACATTAAACGAATTAAATTGTTCTTGTTTGTGCCATATAATAAACATCTTATTTTAAAACCGAGTTTAGTCGCTCTGTTTGGGGTAATCTTGACCTCGGTCGTGTGTACAGACCTCACTGCGTTTGGTCCTCGGTCAAGATTCTCCCATACAGCCTTCCTGATCGGTTAACAACTGAAGAGCTAAATATTAACCCGGATCGTGGGATATGAACGGCCCGAAACGCGAAGGATTGGGCTGGAGAAAGTCAGAATAAAATTAAGCTTAGCAATCAGTAAAGTTTGTTACCGTGCAATTGGATCTTGTCCTTTTATACTTAGTGAACTCGATCGATTCTGGGCTGCAATCCGTAGTCTTGATATGACAGCTACGTAAACTGGGCTCAAACAAAGCATATAATTTTCGGCAAAACCACAACTTCGCGGGGTCTTTCCGTAAACCTTATGTCGTTTGTCTCAAATCATTCTTCGAGAACAAGACAAATTTGGCGGCGACTTTTCGAAGAATATTTCGGAAGAAAACTCTGTGTCGTTCGCTTTCCTGACGGCTCAACTCAAGAAGTAAACAACGCGCGGCAAATTTGTCTACCTTATCACATCATCGCTTTGTTTAGATCAAGCTGAAATTTTCACATCGTCAAGTCCATTAAAGAATTTAAAATAAGGCCCCATCCATAATACGTCAGAGAAATTCGAAAACGTAGCTTTATTTCTCCGGTTAAGCCTATCCGTGTTTTCCAAAACGCTCTTCAAACAAGAGGAATTTGAAAATGCTGGCTGACAGAACGCTAGCAGATTTAAACAAAAATTAATTACACAGTCTGGCGCGCACTAAAATAATTACCGCACAGAAAGCTTGATTGTTTCTCTATAAAAATCGCTTTGACTACCTTACTTTTGACCGGCTTTCCAGCTTTTTAGTGTTACGGTAAAAAAAAAAATGCCAGACTAGATGACGACATGGCTGAAATACAAAGGGCTAACTCAGCCTCGGTAGCATTTCTTCTTAAGACTAACTTCAAATGAGTCCATCCTTTGGCTAGTTCTCATCAGTCTACTGTTTATCGAGACATCAAGAAGTTTCAGATCATCTCTTTGAATCAGTTTTCTATCCTTCATACGAGCGAAATATAAACAGCAAACTGATTTGACCACTCAGTGGTTTGCTAAACATAATCTAACGTACTGATATGGCTAAACAAGACTGAAGTTGTCTTACTTGTTGGATACCTCCTCGTGTATGAGCTTCAAAGCGCTCTTGACAGCGGAAGTCATCCCACTAAACTCGTCGATCTTGCTGGCGTTCGACTGAATGTCGTCTGAAGTCTTAAGTATTTTACCATAGTAGTTCTTTACACTGTCTTTCACTTTATCAAGCTCTTCGGAGTTCATTTTCTTGTCAACCAAGATTTCAGATCCTTCGCGCGTACAGCGTTTCAAAAGAGAAGTTTTACGATACCCCTTCTTGAGGCATTCTGGTATAGCATTCATTTCCTAGCATAGACATATTGAATAAAAACACGATCTAACAATGTTATTAGCATGGCATGACTGGACATCAATCATTTGAAGTTTGCCAAACCGTAACGGGATTTTTCGTCGCCCAAAGTACATTAATGAGTGTGAGTAAGTACAGGCCAAACTAAGACTGAGTTTACTAGACTGGTTTCAACTTTGTTCAGTTACCTTTTAAACTATCGAAAACAGTTTGACGAAAACAATATTGATTGTGTTGTATTAAGCTGGAGCGACAGTTCCCGTTATGGTCTGCCAAACTTTGTTTGATCATGATAGATCGCGTCTTCTTATGCATATGACGTACGTCTCCACGCTTGAATGCAACCAAAGTACCACTTCAACTCAAAATTATAATACTCTCCAGCCTTCAGGCTTCTAACAGGATACCCAAAGGATACAATCCCGCTGGTGAATCAGTTCAATTTAAGACCTTTATGCTTATTTTTATTTGTTTACTAAATGATCCAATCGATTTTCATTTGTTTATTAACTGATTCAATCGATTAGGCTCGAGACTCTGGACAACTGAAAGGGCCGCAATTCGTGCAAAATATCTTCCAGTTGTGGCATTCGCTAGCCGCGACAGGAGTATGAATATATTTACACTTTGCACTTTGGGCAAAAATTTAGAACAAGGATATTTCCGTAATTATGTCTTTTTTTCTGAAACTCACTAGTAAGTAAATTAGTAATATCTCTACGTAGGATCTTTGTAAAGACTGTAATGAGCTCCAAAGACGTTTAGGTTCACTAAGCTTTCATCACAAAACCATCAAGATGGCTGACTCACATGGTTAAGAATCAAGATAGAAATGCATCATGGGAAATCGGTCAATCAGCCTCGCAAGGCATGATAGCTTACACGCTTTCCTCTTTATAACAGAAGATCACATATTTAACAGAACAAACAGCCACCAGACAAATGAGAACTAATAAATCAAACCTATTCAAATAATTTGTTTCACTTCATTGCTGTCCTATCATCAATCAAGTTCTTTGAATCATGTTACGTCCAAAACTCTGTTTGCAGGATTGTCTTTCATCTTGTCTTAAGTAAGGACAAGCCTTGATCCTTTTTCCTCAAGTCTACAGCAATGGGAAGTGTTCACCTGCAAGAAATAAGAGCAGGTGGGTTCGAGAATTAGTCTGAGTAATGGGCTGGACGTCGAATTACTCGGCCACTCCGGATAACAGTTTGTCCAGCAGATGAACTGGTTGCTGCGGGACTGGGGTGTGGCACTGGTGAAGAAGGTGTTGGTGGTTGGGCTACGGTACAGGGAGGCAAAGGAAACATAGGAGATTGGACTTCAGGTGCTGGAGGTGATTCAGAGGTTGCAGGAGGCACTGTTGTGGGTGCTGACATTGGTGGTAAATCTGCCGTTGGACTGGACTGCAAACTGAGTTGTGGTATACCAGTGTCAGAGGAATATGATCCTAGCTTATCTGGGAGAGGTGTTATAGGCTTAGGCTGAGGTGGTGTAGGACTTCATTGAGAGGGGGCAAGCTGCAACTGAACCCGATTTCCTCTGATTTGTGAGGTGCCAGTCTGTATAAGGTAAGATCGTGGTCCAGCAGGACCCACTATCTCTCCAGGGATCCAAGCCTTGGCTGATGAAGTTGGTGGTGGTTTGGCATACACATAGGACTCAGGAAGTAGTTTGGGAAGTGGTGGTCCAGCACGCTTGTCATATGCTTTCTTTTGCTGTGATTTGCAGTGAATGTGCTCAAGCACTACAATGTCCCGTGGAGGGGTGCGTGGATCTAAAGTGGTGGTAGACTGTGGTAGATCAGTGCGAAGAGTGCGGCCAAATAGACGTTAAGCCGGGGAGAAAGTGTGTCCAGCGGGTGGTGTATTGCGAACAGAGAGTAACGCTAGGTCTACATCTTCAGGAGTAAGAAGAATGTGTTTAGCAGACTTCACGGCTGCTTCAGCTCTGCCATTGGACTGGGACCAGTAAGGGGAGGAGGTAATGTGATGAAACTTTCTCTGCAAATGCTTTGAATGCCTCAGATATAAATTGAGATCCATTGTCCGTAATGAGAGTATAAGGCACACCATGGCGTCCAAAATGCTGTTTCGTCGCTTGTATGACTGACGAGGCCTGGACAGGGTTCTCCCTAGTTTTCAGCACAACAGGTAAGAGACCTTTTCAAACCTGTAAAGCATTTGGTTAATGTTGGACGTTCTGCAAAGGATAAGCGACAAGTTGAACTTTTGCACCACGTTGGTTGAGCTAAGGTCAGCGCTGTCCCTCTAAGTATAAAAATAACCTTCACACAATCAAGTTTTCTTTTTTTCTCTCTCTGGCCCTACTGACTGCTTGTGTTCTTCTGAACTGCCATGCTCTGATATTGCAGCCTTCCTGTATCGTGTACCGGGCGCAGTAGCATATTTCACATTTTCGCCTGTTTTAATATGCTTCGTACCAGTTCTTACAAATTAAAGACAACAAAACATTCCCTCGCCCTCTTTAAATGCCAGACACCATACACTACATTTACAGCAGAATACAATGTCATCATCGATCCAGTCATGCTTGAAAACATGGGGCTTTGATGGCAACTGCCTGCTTATTTCACTTTAAATGCATAATTTTTTTAAGACTTATGAGCGTTTACAGGCGGTAATAAGTGCTCTTACAAGCGGTAAATTTTACCGGTTACCGCCTGATAAGGAGAACCCTGCTGGATAGAAGGAAGTCGATCAAGTTCGTAATAGTCACTGTAATGGTCTACAGTGACTAAATAGGCACAACCGTTGAGTGCAAACAGGTTCTGAGAGACCAGTTGCCAGAGTAGTGTAGGCACTGGGTAAGGCTTAAGTGGTTCTCGAGGATGTTGCTGGGCATGTTGTGCACAAGTAGCACAGTTCTTGCAGATGTCTTCAATTTGGCTGTTAAGCCCTGGCCAGAACACACAGGTACGAGCGTGTCGGAGGGTAAACTCGACACCACGGTGAACTGCATGAAGCTTGTGAACAATGTTTGATCGAAGCGAAGAAGGTATGACGACACGATCTTGTTTGAATAGGAGTCCTTCGTGTATGGTAAGTTCGTGACGAAGAGACCAATATGGATGCACAAGGACCGGTACTGAAGCTTTGTCGTTTGGCCATCCTGTCTCAATGAAGGTGCGAAGGGCTTTCTGTTCAGGATCTGTGCTGGCTTCAGCCCTGATTTCCTGTACAATAGCATCTCGGAAACCTGAAAGTTCTGGGTTGTTTTCTTCAAACTCCACGCGGTAGACCAATTCATCATGGACTCCTGCATGTGTTGTGTCTGGAAGTGGCGCACGGGAAAGGGCGTCAGCAAAGTGAAGATCCCTTGCGATATTCAACAGAGAATGAATAACGCTGAAGAGTGAGCGTCATGCTCTGCAAGTGGCGCGGGGCAGAGGCCAAGGGGCGCTTGAGAATGGTTTCCTGTGGTTTGTGATCACTGTGAACGGTAATCTCTGATTTCCCAAAGAGGAGTTGGTCAAACTTGCGGAAGGCATGCACAATGGCTAGTGTTTCTGTCTCGATCAGCGCATAGCGCTGTTCAGTTGCGCTGAGAGAACTAGAGCTAAAAGCAACAGGTTGCCAGTGGACGTCAGTTGCTTTGTTGGGATGGTTCATAGGCTGAAGTAGAGCTGCACCAAGACCATATTCAGACGCATCAACTTGCAGAATCACAGGAGCCTGTACATCAAAGTAGCGTAGGCATGGGGCTTAAGAAACTAACTCTTTAGCTTTTGTGAATGCTTCAGTATGCTGATCAGCCCATAGGAACTCCTTGTCAACGTGTGATAGGTCACGAAGTGGTCTGACCACTTCACTGAGGTTGGGACCAAACTTGGACAGGTAGGTTATGGTGTCCAGAAAGCGTCGGGTGGCAGTCTTGTCCTGAGGTTGAGACAGTGCTAGGTTTGAGCCTCTCCGGGCTAAGCACATGTCCCATAAATGGTGCAGTACATGTTTTGAACTTAATCTTGTCAGGATTAAGTTTAAGATTGTGTTGAGAGAGACGTTCCAGGAGTTCTAGAACTGTCTGGTCATGATCATCATGTGCATCAGTTAGGGATTCACCACGGCCAACCACAATAATGTCATCAGCAATATTGAAGACACCTTCCATACCACAAAGAATATCGTGGAGACGACGTTGGAACTGTTCAGGGGCGGATATGATACCAAAGGGAAGTCTAGTCCAGCGGTACCTTCCCCAGTGAGTGTGCATAGTGGTCAGAAAGGAGGACACATCAGATAATTTGATTATTTCGAATGCATCCTTGATATCAAAAGTGGAGGAAATCTTGGCTTGGTGAAAGCGGTGAATGTTTTCCTCTAAAGTCGGGATGGGGTACACTGGTCTGATGATGGCTTTGTTGATTGTTTGAGATGGGTCTAGGCAAATGCGAACTTTAGCAGGTTTTGTTGCAGAGGCTGGGCGCTCACGAACCACCATATTTGAGATCCACGGTGTGGGTTTGTTTACCGGAATCAACTGTCCTGTGTTGACAAGTTTGTCCAAAGCCTCTTTGATGATGGGAAGTTTGGGGGCAGCATAACGGTGAGGAGCGGCTTGTATGGGCTTGACCCCAGGGTTGAGAGTTATGGAAAAGGGTTCATCCAGTTCACCTAGCCCCTCAAATAAGTAGGGATAAGCTGACTTTATGTAAATCAAATGTTAACTCACCAGGTGGTAGCGCAGGTAGCTCTGGGGAAATATGCAGCTTATACGCGGTGTCCACATCATACTTCAGAATTCCCATGCGTGTGCTGTCGGCGAGACCCAATAGTGGAGCATAGTACTG